AATCCACCCTAACCTGCACATCCCTGGGCACTATGGGTAATTTAGCACGGCCAATCCACCCTAACCTGCACATCCCTGGGCACTATGGGTAATTTAGCATGACCAATCCACCCTAACCTGCACATCTTTGGACTGTGGGAGGAAACCGGAGCACCCGGAGGAAACCCACGCAGGGGGGAGAACATGTAAACTACACACAGAGAGTCACCCGAGGGTGGAATCGAACCTGGGTCCCCTGGCGCTGTGAGGCAGCTGTGCCAACCACTGAGTCACCGTGCTCGCCCAAAGTGTGTGTGAGAGCGTGTGTGTGTGTGAGTGAGTGTGTGTCGGTGTGTGAGAGCGTGTGTGTGTATGTGTGAGAGAGAGTGTGTTTGTGTTAGAGTGAGCGTGTGTGTCTGTGTGACTCTATGTGTGTGAAGTGAGTGTGTGTCTGTGTGTGAGATTGTGTGTCTGTGTGTGTGTGTGTGAGTGAGTGTGTGTGAGTGTGTGTCTGTGTGAGATTGTGTGTCTGTCTGTGTGTGTGTGCATGTGAGTGTGTGTGAGTGAGTGTGTGTGTGAGTGAGTGTGTGTGTGTGTGAGTGTGCGTCTGTGTGAGTGTGTGTGTGAGTGAGTGTGTATGAGTGTGTGTCTGTGTGAGATTGTGTGTCTGTCTGTGTGTGTGTGTGTGTGAGTGAATGTGTGTGTGTGTGTGTGTGTGCATGTGAGTGAGTGAGTGTGTGTGTCTGTGTGAGATTGTGTGTCTGTCTCTGTGTGTGTGAATGTGAGCGTGTGTGTGTGTGAGTGTGTATGTGTGTGTCTGTCTGTGTGTGTCTGTCTGTGTGTGTGTGCGTGTGTGCATGTGAGTGTGTGTGTGAGTGTGTGTGTGTGTGTGTGTCTGTGTGTGCATGTGAGTGTGTGTGTGAGTGAGTGTGTGTGTGTGTGTCTGTGTGAGATTGTGTGTCTGTCTGAGTGTGTGTGTGTGTATGTGTGTGTCTGTCTGTGTGTGTGTGTGTCTGTCTCTGTGTGTGTGTGTGTGTGTGTGCATATGAGTGTGTGTGTGAGTGAGTGTGTGTGTGTGTGTCTGTGTGAGATTGTGTGTCTGTCTGAGTGTGTGTGTGAGTGTGCATGTGTGTGTGTGAGTGTGTGTGAGTGTATGTATGCATGCATGTGTGTGTGTAGATGTGTGTGTGCATGTGTGAATTTGTCTGTGCGTGTGTATGCTGTGCATTCAGTGTGCGTATGTCTGTGTGCATACGTGTCTGTGTGTATGTCAGTGTATGTCTGTGTGTTGTGTGTGAATGCGTGTGTATGTGTCTGTGTGAATGCATGTATGTATGTGTACGTATGTGAGAGTGTGTGTGCGGTGTGTTTATGTGTGCGTGTGTGCCTATGTGTCTGTCTGTGTGTATGTTTGTGAATGTGTGTGTCTGTGTGAATGAGTGTATGTATCTGTGTGTGCGTTTGTGCGTGAGAGAGAGTATGTATGGTAGAATGTGTATGTATGTTTGTGTGTGTGTGTGTCTGTCTATGTGTTGTGTGTGTGTACATGTCTGTCAGTGAGTGTATGTGAGAGTGTGTATCTGAGAGTGTGTGTGTCTGTGTGTGAGAATGTGTGTATGTGAGAGAGTGTGTGTGAGAGAGGGAGTGTGTGAGTCTATGTATGTATGAGTGTGTGTGTGTGAGGGTGGATTGGC